ACTATAGTATTTAAAAGAAGAACACTGGGATGACCATTTGGTCTAGCGGTTAAGAGAGCTGGATCCTGGATGGCCAACCACAGTTTAGACCTACAGACTTGACAACCTCACTAGGTGCATGTGAGTGAAAGCTCTGAACCCTGAAAGAGTGGATAAACAGAGGAGGAGCTGTGGTATGACTATTCCCCTTGGGGTGTGTGTGTGTGTGCTTTCTCTCTCTTCCTCTCTCTGTCTCTGGCAAAATTTTTAAAACTTAAAGTTAAATGAGAACATGTACTAGTGTATGATCAAATGCTTCCCCAAATATATCTAAAACTACACAGTGAACTTCACTTAATTAGAATTCCTCCTTCTCAGAGGTTGACACATGCTTTCCATTCTGTAAAATGAACAACTCTAAATGATCATTTCACAAATCATGAAATGAAAGTAATAATTTACCTACATATAACAACTCTCAAATGTTCTTTTTAAGTCTATCAGCTTTTTAAAAAACATCTTGAGACAATCTAGAAACATAAAATTTGGCATGAGTATATTGTTTTTCTTTTGGGATGAAGGAAAAATCCTAAAATGTAATTTTCAGTTTTACTGAGATTCCCTCCTGCCCTGGCCAGGTCTGAGTATTTTAACTGCAAAAACAAAGTATACCTTTGGTTATTAAGTAATAAGTATAATTAACTTTTATTTGGGACCAGCAGTTGGCATAATGCTATGTCACTGGACTCCCATGTAGTCAACTGCTGTTTGAGTCCTGGACCCGTTAGCTCACGTCGTGTGTATGTGCGTGCGTGCCCAAGAACCTGAGAGGAGAATGGAGGAGAAAGGATTGCGGCATGACCATCCCCCCTGGAGGGTGATTTCTCGCTTTCTGTCTGTCTCTGTCTTTCTGGCAAGTGCATGTGCCCTATAGCAAAAACCTTTCAAAAAATTTTTTTAAAAGTTAGTCAGTCTCAGATGATAAGAAAGTAGTCAACTCTAATAACTGGCTTTAGTGGTTCCAAATTTTTTGCTTTTAAAAAATTGAGCAGTCACTTGATCTTTATAAATAATTTATGTGGGGAGGACTCAAGCTAGGTGTTCAGGGCCAAGAGAGACATCTTAAGTTAGCCTGATTGGGAAATATGGTAAAGGAATGCAGATGATGGGACCAACAGGAAATGTGGCAGTTAAGGTGGCTGGACTCCCGTATGGCCAACTGCAGTTCAAATCCCAGACCCAATGGCTTGGAAATCACATGGGGCTTGTGTGCATAAAATGCCCCAAATCCTGAGAGGAGAATGGAGAAGAAGGGATTGTAGTGTGGCCATCCTCCCGGGGGTGAGGGGGAGTGGGGGGGTGATTTCTCACGTTGCCTTTCATTGTTTCTCCAGTGAGCGCATATGATTTCTGGCAAAATCTTTAAAAAAGGAAAAAAGATGCCGATGAATTATTCTGAGGACCTTCTAGAATATGATCAGGATCCTGGGATGAGATGCAGAAAAAGGAAGGCACGGTAGTGCTAAGGATAACCGAGGTTTACTGACTGAAGGAGGAGCGTAGTCTACGGTGGGTCAGAGAACACTGGAGCTGGCTTTTCACTGTACTTCACAGAAGGGCTCTAGGGTCAAACTTCCCTAGTGTTGGGGAGGAATATGCCCTTCTCTGGATCTGTGGCTCTGTGACGTGGCTTAAAAGGTCATGTCAGGAGGGTTTGCTTCCATCAAATAGACCACTGAAACTCAAGGTCATCTCTAGACCTCTGTTCCATGAGGAACAGAGAATGGAAATCTCGTTTGATAATAATCACTCATTGGATCCTTTATGGTGATCTCACTGTACCCACTCACAAATCTGGTACTCACAAAAAGTGTATGGCATTAGGCAAGGCGGATACCCAGACGATATGATTCCATAAAGTTCAACACAGGCAGAACTAATCTGCTGTGTGAGCGGCCAGGTCAGTTACCTCTGGAAAGAGGAGAGGAACAAGAGACTGAGAGGGGGAACAGGGCCCTGTGGAGGTGCCTCACGGTCTTAATCTGGGTTAGAACACCTGGGGGTGCTCACTTTATAAGTCATGGAGCTCTGTCTTATGATGTGCACATTTCCATGAGCAAGAAAAAGTTCATTTTTTTCAATGCCATGGTCTAAATCACTGAATCCCAGCTGCCTATAAACAATGTACTCAGACATTTGTATTTAAAAGAGGCAGTAAAAATACTCAATGTATGTTAAAAAGAAATCCACTGACTGCAAATGCAAAATAACTTACTTTTTAATTTAACTACTTTGATTTATTTCTTACCCATTTAAAATCTAAGGGAATGATTTTTTTTTCTTTTAAGAGAGATTTTTGCTATAGGGCCTGTGTGCTTGCCTAAGACAGAGAGAGACAGAGAAAGTGAGACACCCCCCCCCCAGGGGAAATGGCTATGCTGCAATCTCTTCTTCTCCATTCTCCTCTTAGGATTTTGGGTACACATGCACATGTCCCTGGGATGAGTTTCAAGTTGCCGGGCCTGGGACTCAAACTGCGGTCAACCATGTGGGAGTCCAGCATCTTAACCACTACATCACCTGCTGGCACCCAAGGAATGAGAATTTTTAAAAAGATATAAAAGGTGCAGCCAGCAGGTGGCATGATGATTAAGGCACTGGACTCTCACATGGCCAACAACGATTCAAGACCTGGATCCAGCCACTTGAAAATCATGCCAGGTGTGTGTGTGTGTGTGTGTGTGTGTGTACCCAAAATCCCAGAGGAGAATGGAAGAGAAGGGACTGTGGTGTGGCCATCCTCCCTGAGGGGTGATTTCCCACTTCCCTCTCACTGTCTCTCTCTCTGGTGAGTACATACACACTATGGCAAAAAAACAAACAGAAGATATGAAAGGAAACAAAAGCCATTCCACTACAGTTGCGGACACAGCATTTTTTCATTTTGTCACCCATATTCCTTACCTCTATCATTTTTCCTCCTCTTGTATTTTATTTTCCACAACTCTCCTCTACTTATAACCCTATAAGTATAACCCTCCAAGATCTCTTCTTAGGTAACTCAAGATTACAAGGTACCCAGGGAACCAGCAGTTAGTGTAATGGCTCTGTCGCTGCACTCCCACGTATTCGACCGCGGTTCACGTCCCGGACCCGGCAGCTTAAACTCACACCGGGCACGTGTGCGTGTGTGTCCAAGATCCCGAGAAGAGAATGGAGGAGAAGGGATTGCGGCGTGGCCATCCCCCCTGGGGGGTGATTTCTCGCTTTCTGTCACTGTCTCTGTCTTTCTGGCGAGTGCACGCGCCGTATAGCAAAAACCTCTCCAAAAAAAAAAATTAAATAAAAAAAAAAAAAGATTACAAGGTACCCAGACACACGAGGAAGCTTCCTGGGTGAGCCGGGGACAAAAACAGCTCTCTGGCCCATCTCTCATCTTCTCTCAAAATCAAGTTTTTTCCTGACATCTCTTTTTCTCACATCTCTCCCTGTGTTTCAAACTCTATTCTTCTTCCTAATTATGCCCCAGGGTTCACCTGAAACACGCAGAAGAGTAAAAGGTGATCCACCAGCATTTGTTCTTATAAAATTGTGTTCTATATAAATAGAATTAAATTATATGCACAGGTAGGCACCTCTGCACAGCCAAACACAACCAGCAGTCTCTCCTCTGGCGTATGTAAAGGAACAGAGGCCTTGGCCTATCTTGGCGACTCCCCACACTTTGAAACTGCACTGGTTTCCAATCCCTTTGTTGGCACCAAACACCTGAGGGACACAACATTCCCCATCTCTAAAACGACCCTAAGTTATGGGAACTTTAGAATATCTTTTTTTTTTTGAGAAGTTTTCACTATAGGGCGCGTGTGCTCACCAGACAGAGAGAGAAAGAGACATAGAGACAGAAAGCGTCAGCCCCCGGGGGGATGGTAACGCCGCAATCCCTTCTCCTCCATTCTCCTCTCGGAATCTTGGGCATGCACACACGCCCGGCGTGAGTTTTAAGCCACTGGGTCCGGGACGCGAAGTACGGTCGACTACGTGGGAGTCCAGCAACATAGCCATTATGCTAACTGCTGGTCCCTAGGATATCTTTTTTTAGTCTGAAAACATGGCATCCCACGGTACAGAACGAAGTTAGAATAGAGCAGTGGTTTGCCACTATCTGCCCCTCAACTCATGAGTAGGTTTAAAAGTTCCCCTCAGACCAACTGATGGCATGTGGTTGAGGCAGCTGGGTCTCACATGGCCAACTGTGTGGCTCAAGTCCCAAACCCGGCAGTTTGAATAACATGCTAGGTGCAAGTGTGTATGTGTGCCCAAAATCCCACGAAGAAGAAATGGAGGAGAAGGGATTAGTAGGTGATCACCTCCCATGAGGTGCTGTCTCATTTTCTCACTTTCTCTATCTTCCTGTCTGTCTCTCTCCAGTAAGTGTATGTACCCTCTAGCAAATAATAAATAATAATAATAATAAAAAAGATTTCAACACATTTTTAGACATGTGACAAGAGAGAATTAAGGAGTGTTATACAAAATCACTGTGTAATAAAACCTCACTAATGAATAACCAAGAAGAAATGTATTGGTCAAGTTGATAAAACTGTAGTGTCTACACTACCTGTTTATTTATTTACTTTTTTTAGGTTTTCGCTATAGGGTGCATGTACTCACCAGAGAGATACGGTAAGAGGGAAAGTGAGCAATTCCCCCCACAAGGAAGATAACCATACTGCAATCCCTTTTCCTCCATTTCCCTCCTGGGATTTGGGGTACACACACACATGCACCTGGCATGATTTTCCAGCAACTGGGTCCAGCACCCAGACTGTGGTTGGCCATCTAGGAGTCCAGTGCTTTAACCACCATGCCACCTGCTGGTCCCCTAATACATTCTTAAGTCAACAGTAACATATCTTTAAGGCTACCAATGACTTATCTCTGGAAATACAATTTTCTTCATATTTACCTATAACAAAAAGATACATCAAACGCCATCTGACTTCAAGATTCTGGCTTACCTTTTTTCTCTCCAGTGTAGGGCACATAATCTTCCCTGTCCTTATGCTCCAATGCTTCCTTCTCCAGATATGAAAGGAGATGTTCTCTATCAAATGGCCCCGTGGCTGACTTTGACGTCTGGTTCTTCTGCCGGAACCCTGCAGGCAGAAGGGCATTCTGCCAGAGAGAATGAAAAGCCATTAAGACTGCTCCAAACGTCAATACCATAGATTACTCACAGACAGAAGAATTATAGAGCAGAATGTGGCACAGACATATTAAACATATCCCTGCAGGATTTCAGCACAGTAAGGTCCAAAGAAATAGTTTTAATTAGATAGAACTCACTTGCATTTCTACTAAAACAGGCACCTACACATTTTTTTTTTTGAGAGGTCGTCACTATAGGGAGCGTGCGCTCGCCAGAAAGACAGAGACAGACAGAGAGACAGAAAGCTAGAAATCACCCCCCGGGGGGATGGCCACGCCGCAATCCCTTCTCCTTCATTCTCCTCTCAAGATCTTGGGCACACACGCACATGTGCCCTGCGTGAGTTTAAGCCACTGGGTCCGGGACGCAAACCGCGGTCGATTACGTGGGAGTCCAGCGACATAGCCATTATGCTAACTGCTGGTCCCTCCCATACACATTTTCTTTAGAAAACATCTGGGCCAGCTCTGTGACCTAGTGGCCAAGGGGTCTGAGTCCCATGTGGTCGACTGTGCATTGTGAGTTCTGGACCCAGCAGCATGAGAAATTTGCCAGGCGTGTGTGTTTGGATGCCCCAAATCTCCAAAACAAGGAAGAAACAGAAGAGAAGGGATTGCTGTGTGACCATTCCCATGTGGGAGTGCTTTCCTGCTTTCCCTCTCTATCTCCAGGGAGTGCATGCACCCTCTGACAAATTCAAAAAAAAGAGAGAGAGAGAAGAAAAAAAAACTATTCCACTATTAGGAAACAATAGTGTTTAAGTGTTTTTAAGTCAGGTGGTAATAAACAATAGCATTCTCTCTTTTCCCCACCTTCTCTCCTATTTGCCAGAGGGCAACTGCACTCCTGAGATGGAGACAGAGAGAGAGAGGAATGGAGATGAAGAACAGAGAAAGAAATCACCCGGTGGGGTGCAGCCACACAGCAATGACCCCCTTCACCCCTGCCTCCCGTGGGGATCCTGGGCACACAGAGGCAGCCAGTGTGTCCCTGAAGACATGGGGCGGGGACCCAACTTCCAGATCAGCCACCTATGATCTGGCTCCCTCAATCACCAGGCCAGGGAGCACCAAAAAGTGTCTTAATGCTTAATAACTACTCGGCATAAATGTTTATCTAGAGGACAACTCTGTGAAAGAAGATGACTGACTGACTACATGCGTGACATTCCTTCACGACATCCATTTCCTCAAACACACTTCCTCCTGATAAAAGCCTGGACAGTGTACAGTTTAAATACCATGTGACGGGACCAGCAGTTAGCATAAGGGCTATATCGCTGGACTCCCATGTAGTCAACTGCGGTTCGAGTCCCAGACCCGGTGGCTTAAACTCACGCTGGGCATGTGTGCATGCGTGCCCAAGATCTCGGGAGGAGAATGGAGGAGAAGGGATTGTGGCGTGGCCATCCCCCAGGGGGGTGATTTCTCACTTTCTCTCTCTCTGTCTCTCTGGTGAGTGCACGTGCCCTATAGCAAAAACCTCTCCAAAAATAAAAAAATAAATAAAAATAAATAAAATAAATAAATACCATGTGAAAGATTCTACTTCTGTATGGATGCTCGCTCCCACCCCTCTGTCCCCCCAGCCTTCCTCCCACACCCTCTATATTGCAGCCTCCCATGTGTGAGGAAGTATCACGGGTCTTTATGCCTGCATCCCCTTCCCCTCGAAGGCTCTGTTCCTCCCTGCTTGCTACTCATTTTTTCAGACTGCAACTCTATTCCCCAAAGGAAAGCTTTTCCTGACCTCCCATGATAAGCTCTTACAGTACTTACCATTATTTTAACAAGGTATGACTACCTGGTTAAGGTCTAACTCCTCCCCTTCCTACCAGCCTGCATCATGTTTTGCTCCCTCTCACATCCCTAAGCCTAGCACAGTATGTGGGATCTACATGTTCCCCAAATATTGGAATAAAGACTAGAATACATTTTATTTATTTTTTTTTTTAATGAAAGACAGCGTGAATGGGGGTGGGGGGAGAGGGAGAGAAACAGGCAGACAGACAAGTGCTTCTGACAGTGTCTGCTGTGTCCTGATCCTCCCGCCCCAGCCTCCCAGCTAGCTAGGGCCACAGGTGACACCACTGCGCCCAGCCTGTGCAGCCTCAGCCCCGTGCAGCAACGGCACTCCCACCCACACCACCACGGCTGGGCTCATTTTAACATACTTTTAAAGAGAAATGTTCATTAGGGCAAATGAATGAAAAGTTGCTTTCCTTCTCAACCAAGAAGGCATGCTTTTATGTATTGCTATTTTGTGCTGAGATACTTTTCCACCTGTTTGCTCAAGCCCATGGGAAACAGTTTTTAAACGTATTAACAGGATTCCTGGCTCCTTAAATACAATCTTTGAGCACAAAATAAATGACAGCTAACTTGTTTTAAAGGCTATAAACCCATGAATCAAGCTTCATTTGACATACACTCTAAGTAAACTAGCAGTTCATAATTACTTAACAGATAAAATCTCATTAATATAATTGCCACTAAAAATAACATTTCTCCCTTGCAGTGGAATTTTGTTGTAATATATTCTCAGCCTTAGAAATGAAGAAGAGAGGGAGAACGGGGAGGGGCAAGGAGAGAGAGAGAAGAGAAGGAGAAGGAATAAAATTTAAAAAAGGAAGAAGGAAGAAGTTTTTGCCTAGGATGTCTGTCTTTTGTAGACGGATGTTTTTGTCAAAATGCAGAGAATTCTAAAATAAACACCCTGAATGTAGCATGAGGATAGTAAAATAACCTTCCAAAATACAAGACCTCACATACACCTTCACTTGTTCTTTTTTTTGTTACAGGGCAGGTCCAGAGAGACAGACAGAAAGGGAGAAATCTCCCACCGGGAGAATGGTCACACCACAACCCTCCATTCTCCTCACGGGATTTTGGGCATGCACACACATGCGCCTGGCGTGAGTTTCAAGCCACTAGGTCTGGGACCTGAACTGTGGTCGACTACGTAGGAGAGTCCAGCAATGTAACCACTACACTGTCTCCTGGTCCCCCTCCATCTGTTCCTGCCGTGCCTTCTGAGACTGTAAGTTAGAGCCATAATTCTCTGGTTGAAGGATCAGAGCTGCCACCACCTCTGCCCTCTTTTCTTATTTCGTCTCTAATGGAAACTGTTTCCGAACGTCACCTAAGTGCCATACTCAATAACCACCATTGTTCTCGTCTCAGCTAACAATATCTGAGGTTGAGGGAGAAGCAACTGAGGCTGGGGGGGTTTGCAGAATACATTCAGCAGTTACAACTCAAACCTTTCCAAACAAGGAGCAGACCATGGTTTTGGAAATAAAAATATATAAGTTATCAGATTTTAGACTGAAACTAGAATGCTTGTGTTGTTTTAATGAAAAGGCCATTAGACTTTGCCGGGCATTAAGCAGTGAAGGCTCTAGCCTGAGTTTTTTTCCCTAACTGTAATAACTGAGTAAGTCATCTAATTTTAAGAACTATTTTATTTCATTTTATTAATTATTATTATCATCATCATCATTACTATTACTATTTGAAATCTGACTAGAGGCAGACAGAAAAGACAAAGTGAGAAAGCAAAGCCGCCAGGTCCTGGACTCAAACTGCAGTCAGCCTCGTGGGAGTCCAGTCCTTTAACCACCATGCCACTTATGGCCCTCTGGCTTTGCTGGTCCTCTGACTTTGGTCTTATAAGTGTAAAACAGAAGGCAAGGACTAGATCCATGTTTCTTACCTAGGGGCATTGCTGTCCCCTAGGGGACCTCAGGCGATGTCTTGAGACATGTTAGGGTATCACAACTATGAGGGGGAGAGGAGTATTGAAGGTGCTTTTTTACTTCCTGTATTTTCTGATGCCATGCTGTGACATCTTTAGAGTAAACTTGTTAACCAGAAGACACTGTCTCTCCCAGGCTAGCTAACTCCTAGGGACAGCACAACCACCACGCCTTAGTCCCACTTGCCCGGGACACTTCCTTTCATACAAAGCAAGCCAACCCATTCAGGGCCCACCCACCTCCTTTATCTAACTCTCACAATCCAAGCCAACATGTCCTCAGTTCTAAATTGCCCTGGGGCTGGCTACTGGGACAACCAAAAAAAAATATCCAAACTATCCAATCCCAACTTGCCTACCTGCCTCACCCCTGCATTCCTCAGAAAGCCTCAATAAAGCCCCTGAGCCAAGCCTGCTCCCTGCTCTGCACCCTGACTGACAGTGCTTCCCATGTGCTCTGAGCTTGTGGGAACTGTAATAGACTCATCTTTCAAGGCAGCTCTCTGTCATCTGAACCACATCTGATTAAAACAAAATTGCGGGACCAGCAGTTAGCGTAATGGCTATGTCGCTGGACTCCCATGTAGTCAACCAAGGTTCGAGACCCGGACCCGGTGGCTTAAACTCACACCGGGCGTGTGTGCATGTGTGCCCAAGATCCTGAGAGGAGAATGGAAGAGAAGGGATTGTAGCGTGACCATCCCCCTTGGGGGGGGGCGATTTCTCACTTTCTGTCTCTGTCTTTTTGGCTAGCATACATGCCCTATAGCGAAAATCTCTCAAAAAAAAAAAAATTGCAGAGACATTTTAAGATAAGGGTGGGAGGATGTGCTATTGGCACCTACTGAGAAGAGGCCAGAGATGCTGCTAAACATCTTTCAATGCACAGAATGGCTCCTGCAATGAAGAATATTCAACCCCACATATCCTCGGTGCCACGGTCAGGCAACCCCAGAACAGATAAACACTCAGGGTCCTTCCAGTGCTGAGAATGTTTGCTTCAAACAGGCCACACACAGGACAACCCTGCTGTAGAACACATTGCTGCAAAGTGGTCAAAACAGCACTCTTACCCTCAGCAATGCCCAGATGCAGGCATACTGAGAACATGTCCTGATGGTGTGATTATGGTTAAGGGATTTGATCTACGGCACAGATACATCACCCAGTAACAAGAACAATTTTATAAAACAGATGATACTTCAGCTCTTTTTTTAATTTTTTATTTATTTTTTATTTTTATTTTTTTTGGAGAGGTTTTCGCTATAGGGCGTGTGCACTCACCAGACAGACAGACAGAGACATAGAGACAGAAAGCGAGAAATCACCCCCCAGGGGGGATGGCCACGCCGCAATTCCTTCTCCTCCATTCTCCTCTCGGGATCCTGGGCAAGCACGCACACGTGCCTGGCGTGAGTTTTAAGCCACTGGGTCCGGGACACGAACCACGGTCGACTACGTGGGAGTCCAGCGACATAGCCATTACGCTAACTGCTGGTTCCCGATACTTCAGTTCTTAAAGGGTACTTAAAAATCATAGTTTCAACATAAAATCATGCAGCAAATAAAAGAAGCCTAGCAGGGGCCACAGGTGGCATGGTAGTTAAGGGCGCTGGCCTCCCGCATGGCCGACCTTCGTTCAAGTCCCGGACCGGGTGGCTTGCTCTCTCACTTTCTCTCTCTCTCTCTTGTTCTGTCCCTCTTTGGTCAAATTTATATAAACAAACAAACAAAGTTAAATAAAATAATTTTTTAAAAAGAAGCCTAGCCAATAGCCATCACGTTTGGGCCCTCCCTTCACTGCTTCTACCTTCCCGCTCTTTTCCCCTCTCAGGGAACTACAGTCCGAAGGCTGAGGGTCTGCACCTTGGCCTTGTGTGAGACAATGAAGACACAGCCACGTATCTTCAGGTCAGTCTACAGTGGACAGCCGTGTTGTGGAAAGAGTCATTATTTCTATTCTACAGTGACTAGAAACTTAATCAAATTGGCCTAGCTTCTTTCAGTAACAATTAAGCTTAAGGTCATGAAGAACTTTCTGGAAGGTTTCTAGTAACGCTATCCTGGTATAGCTCTGAGGAGACAGAGGTTGGTGTTTATAAAAAGAAGAATCATCTGTTGTTATACAAACATTCCTCCATGCCCAGACAGAGAAGATTTCTCGGAAGAGAAAACATTCAAGAGATGATTGAAAATATGGGTTACTGAGGAAAATGGTTTAAAACACTCATTAGAAGAGCTGTGGTGGCAGGAGGGAGGGAACCAGAGAGGAAGCGAAAGGCAATTTTATTTCAGTAAAGACTGGTGGGAAGGTGTGAGAGGAAAGCCAACCAGAGAAAGGCAGCTACTTAGTTTCAAAGGATTTGAAACTTATTTCCTTGGGCTTCCTCAGCTAGACCTACCTCAGGGTCAAGGTCATCCAGAACAGTTTCCAGTTGTTTCAGTTCTATTTCTGACAGATTCCCAAGGAGCTCGTCTTCATCAAGGTCCTTGTACTTCTCTAAATCCTTCCGGAATGGTAGCGCCATGACTGATAGTGAAGGAAGTCACTTAATCTTTGCTGTTTGACACGGTCAGAAGTGACTTCTACTTTTTCTTAAAGCTATAGGGAGAAGAAACAAAAACAGATTATTATGTTAAATGAAATATAATTTCCATATGTCATATTGTCTATGGGTCATCCAATGCCTTTACCTTTTTTGTCATTTCTAAAGAAAAAAAAAAAACCAACTGGGGGATAAAAGAGAATAAAATTCAAAACCATTAAGATAGCTAGTTGATAGAATTTAGAATTTCTGATAACTGGATTTAAGGGGGAAAGAAATTATTATATGCACCAAAATAAAATCTTTTCCATCAAACTCATAAATTATTTTACCAGAGTATTTTGCTACAGCATAGTATATATGGTTAAGGCACTTTTTAAAAATCATAAATTAAGAAAAATTATATATATATATATTTTTTTTTTTGAGAGGTTTTGCTATAGGGTGCGTGAACTCACCAGAAAGACAGAGAGACAGAAAATGAGAAATTACCCCATGACACAATCTCTTCTCCTCCATTCTCCTCTTGGGATCTTGGGCACGCACGCACATGTGCCTGGTGTGAGTTTAAGCCACTGGGTCCAGGACTTGAACTGCAGTCAACTACATGGGAGTCCAGCAACATACCCATTATGCCAACTGCTGGTCCCGAGAGATTCAATATTAATACAAGGTGTGTGTATGTGTGTGTGTGTGTGAGTGGGGGAGGGTTGCGATTGACTCCCTATCAAGGGAATGGTCTCTTGATATAGAGGTGGGAAACTTTTAAAAATGTGCACCTAAAAATATTTTTCAGAGACCCGCTCCCTGGTGCAGCAGTAACATGCTGCTCAAAGAAGCTGGATTCCACTTGGCAACCATGGTTAGAATCCCTGGCCCAGTCAGCCCGAAATGTGCTAAGCAAGTGCACGAGTGCCCAAGATCAGGCCGGCTGGAGGACTGGAGGAAAGGGACTGTGGTGTGATCGAACTCTGTGGTAGGTGCTCCTCTCTCTCTCTGTGCATCTGTCTCTCACTCTCACACGCTCTATCATGAATACAGAAAAAGAAATTTTTTTTTGGGGGGGGAGAGATTTTCACTATAGGGCGCGTGTGCTCGCCAGACAGAGAGAGACACAGAGACAGAAAGCGAGAAATCACCCCCCCCAGGGGGGATGGTCATGCCACAATCCCTTCTCCATTTTCCTCTCAGGATCTTGGGCCCAGACGCACACGCGCCTGGCATGAGTTTTAAGCCACCAGGTCCGGGACACGAACCGTGGTCGACTACGTGGGAGTTCCAGCGACATAGCCATTACGCTAACTGCTGGTTCCGAGAAAAAATTTTTTTAAGAAAATATTTTTCAGAAAGTTTTTATAAAGGAAAAATATACCATTCTGTAAAATATTTCAGTGAACTACTCAAATCATTCCAGGATCAGTCACCCACTGCATGGCAAGACTGGCCAGGAGACTGTGACTACACAAAGGTCCTTGGCCAATTCTTCGCGGTGTGGATCTCTTCCAAATAGCTGTGAGCATAACCAACATGCAGCCCCTCTCTCCACACAGCAGCAGGGCTGTTCTATAGAAAAGAATACTTAGATTTAAGTCACGTACAAAATGAGAACTGAAAAATCAAGTCTTTCTATAAATCCTAGCCATATGAGGATCATGTATCTCATAAAACGTAGCTATGGGAAAAGAAATAACCCTTAGACTGAGTAACTTGGCTAAATTTTCTTTCTTTCTTTTTCTGGCTGCAAGTTGCCCAGTCTTTCCATGTTTGATGTATTTCTTCTATTATCTCTTTCCAAGTTTTTCTAACATAATACGTCAACTAATATATTTTCCTCTGCAAACCAGTAACATTTTAACGATCTTTTTATGTGTCTTCGCCTACTTTGAAAGGAACCGTTCACAGCATATTTCAACAGGAGGGAAGGCTCGCCCCGGGGGTCTGACAGCCGGCAGCGCCACCAGCAGCCACCTTAGGGCCACTGAGCAGCTCTAGCACAGGCCGTGAGCACAGAGGTTAAGCTGCGGGCATCCTGTGTGGTCACCCCAGACAGGCCTGGCTTAAACCTGCCCCACTGGCACCTCTTCTGACTTACTAGCTATCCTGGATTTTTGTTTTTTATTGCGGAAAAAATGACTATCATGTTGCCATTACTAAGTTTGTTGCACCTCCACTTTGTACTTCAAACTTTAAGGTAGTGTCCGAGAGCTCCCCCAGTACGCAGTCACACGTGTGCCTACGGTCCAGGGCCAGCTGGAGCTGGAGGCAAACTGAGGGGCCAAAACTCTGTTGGGGTGCTGTCTATCTAGCTGTCTCGCTCTTATTCATGGAAGAAACAAATGGATTTAAAAAAATACAGTCTGCAGAGAAGACACAATGGAAGATATCAGTACTTTCAAATGCATTAACCATAAAATACTAATTTTGAAGAAGGTAACAGGTGATTTTTTTTGGTAGAATTATTTTATTTAGCTTTTTTTTTTTTTTATGATTATTTAATTTGACCAGAGAGGGACAGAGAGAGAAAGAGGAAAAGTGAGAAAGCAAGCTGCCAGACCTGGGACCCGAACCGCAGTTGGCCAACTGGGAGTCCAGCACCCTTAACCACCACACCACCTGCTGGCCACAGTGACAGGTGATTTTAAGGTACAAAAATTAAAAATAGGACTACTTTGAAAAAATATTACCTTTATAAAAATACCAGTGACTTGGTATTTGAGACAAATAAGGGTAAGAAATTGATGAAGTATATTAAGTACATACCAAAAATAATTTACATGCTAGGTGCATGTGCACCCCAAATCCTGAGAGATGTATGGAGAAGGAGGAATTGTGGCATGGCCACCCCCCTGGGAAGTGATTTCTCACTTTCTCTCTCCTTCTACAACTCTTTCTAACAAGCATACACGACCTATAGCAAAAACCAAAAACAAAAACTATTTAGCTTAAGCTATTGTTTTAAATGTTTGGACAATCAATAGAAAAAAGCTTTAAATCTGTTTCTGTATAATTTATTTTTTGAAATTTATAGTATATCCTAAGGCCAATTTCTTAGTCAACATGTTTCAAATATATACACATATATCTACATGTAAAATCTTGACTATTAAGGATCCCCTTCCTTTACTCTGAAAAGTATCCCAGCATGGACCATAAATTCACTGGTCACCTACCCTACTAATAAGACACTCTAATGGGCAATATGACAGGAAGGAGACTGCAGAGCCAAAGAAATGCTATACGGCACCAGGTTCTATAAATTAGGAAGGAACATGACATCCCTTGGAGAGACTAGATCACTCGCTCCAACAGAATACTCCTCCTTTTCCTAAAGGAGTATATCACACAAAGCAAGTTTTTATCGGGTCATGACTTTCCCAACAACTCAACAGTACTGCTTAAAGAATAATAAAACCGGGGCCAGCAGATGGCACAGTGGTTACGTCACTGGACTCCCACATGACTAACTGTGGTTCAAGTCCCAGACCCAGTGGCTTAAAACACTCATGCTGGTTGGGTGTGCATGCATGCTCAAGGTCTCAGGAGGAGAATGGAGGAGAAGGGACTGTAGTGTGGTCATCCCCCAGGAGGTGATTTCTCACTTTCCTTCTCACTGTGTGTCTTTCTCTCTTTCCCACGAGTGCACGTGACCTAAGGCAAAAACCTCCCCCCCCAAAAGAATAAAACAAACACACGTGAACACACTGTCCTGAGTACCAGAGTATTACTAGCACCCGCATGTTCACCTCTCCAGTTGCATCTTCCTCCCAAAAGTAGTCATTATAATCTTATTCTCTTGCTTTCTTTTAATTTCAACTTACACATCATTTTTTTTTGGGGGGGGGGGGGTTTGCTACAGGGCGTGTGCGCTCACCAGACGGACAGAGACAGAGACAGAAAGCAAGAAATCACCCCCCAGGGGGGATGGTCACACTGCAATCCCTTCTCCTTTGTTCTCCTCTCGAGATCTTGGGCATGCATGCACACGTGCCCGGCGTGAGTTTTAAGCCACCGGGTCTGGGACGCGAACCACGGTCTACATGGGAGTCCAGCGACATAGCCATTATGCTAACTGCTGGTCCCTAACTTACGCATCTTATACTTCTTTTATATAATCTATATCTAGTATCATATCATATAAATGAACTTTCTTTCTCTTTTCTTTTTCTTTTTTCTTTTGGTTAGAGCTTGCCAGAGAAACACAGAGAGGGAGAGGAGAAAGCACCCACTGTGGGGAATGGTCACAGTGCAGTCCTTCTCTTCCATCTCTCCCTCCTTTTGGGATTCTGAGCACCACATACACGTGCCTGGCATGTTTCTCAAGCCACGGGTCCAGGACACAAACCACATAGCCACGTGGGACGTAGCTACTCTAACCACCAGGCCAAGGAGCCGGTCGCATATATGAAATTTAAGTTGCATACAGTCTTTCCCCCTCGATTTGTCTGCCATAAACAACTTTGTTAAATTTCCCGGCATAGGAATGCAAGTGCTTCGCCAATGTTCAAGCCGAGGAATGGAAGAGCTGGGGAAAAGAGAGGCCCATTCTCAGCTTCATAAGGTAATGCCAAATCATTTTCACAGTGATCACCAATTCACATTCCTAGAAGATGCAGACATGACGGTTCATTCTGCTCTCACCCTTGCTGACTGTCGCTCTTATCAGAGGTTTTATTTTTGGCCATTCTGGCGGATGTGAAATGGTAGCTCACTGTGGTCTCCATTGGCATTGTGCTGAATTATGATGAGACTGAGCATCTTCCCATCTGCTCATTGCCAGTGCTGTTCCTTCTTCTTGCTGTTCCTGTGAGGAACCTCTTGTCTGTTTATATCGAGTTGCTTTTCTTTCTTTCTTTTTTGTTTTTAAAATAGATTCTGAATATTAAGTTTTGTCAGATGTAACAAATCTCTTCTTCCATTTTCTTTCAGCTCTTACTAAGTGTATTATGGTATAAGCTGGGGAAAACACTTCTAAGTGCTTTTCATTTGATATTGTATGGAATTTGCTTCTTTAGCTGTTTTTGTTGTTGTTTTTCCCTTTTCAAAATAATAGAGAAAG